TTCTAGGAATAATCATCTCTTTCTTCCACTGCTTATAACTTTTTACACTTCGACAATATTTTATCTTTGCCTTCGTTTCCTTACAAGTCATGATTTTATCTATCAGTCCGTTTATAATGGGGAGCGCAAACATAAGTCCAATTGCTTTCATTTTCATCAGATTAACTTTTATCTTTTTCATTTTTGAAATTACATTACCTTCAGCTAACGGTGAAAAACTCGTCAATGGAACTTGTCTACCTTCAAAGAACATTATTTGTAATCCCGGAATTATTCTTCCAGTGTGGGAACCTGTTGATAACCTTAGCACTGGTGATCGAATTGCTAGGTCGGCTGTTTACTTTTCGGCACTTATGTACCTTTTTCTGGGTATTTCTATTATTGCCGATAGGTTCATGGCGGCTATAGAGGTCATTACTTCTAAGGAAAAAGAAGTCACTATAAAAAAGAAAAATGGTGAAAAGCAGGTTATTTCTGTAAGGATTTGGAACCAGACCGTCTCAAATCTCACTCTAATGGCACTGGGTTCTTCCGCTCCTGAAATTCTTCTTTCCGTTATCGAAATTATTGGGAAAAGGTTTGAAGCAGGAGAGCTTGGTCCAGGAACTATTGTTGGCTCTGCAGCATTCAACCTCTTTGTCATAATAGGATTATGTATTTTGGTAATTCCTGATGGTCAAGTAAGGCGCATTAAACACCTTAGCGTATTCTTTATCACGGCTGCTTGGAGCGTATTCGCGTATTTATGGCTATATTGCATCATTGCTGTTTTTTCTCCGGGATTCGTTGATGTATGGGAGGCGGTACTGACGTTTTTATTCTTCCCTGGCACAGTTATTACAGCATATATTGCAGACACAAGGATTTTCTTCAAAAAGTTTTTAAGAAAGAGATATCATGCAACTGGCATAGTCAAAGCTATCGCGGACGGTGATATTGAAATTCCTGCAAACCACACAGATGAAGTTGCCTATACCGGGGGTGAATTTGATGATGAATACGAACACGAAAACCGTCGATTGGATTTAGTAGAAACCATCAAAGAAATTCGCAAAAAGAATCCAAACATTGATCCAAAAACATTGGAGGAGATGGCTCAACGAGAATTGCTAAACCGAGGCCCAAAATCTCGTGCTTTCTATCGTATTAAAGCAACACGTCAGTTAACTGGTGGTGGAAATGTTGTAAAGAAACAAAAGTATGATCACCGAAAATCCCAAGATGTTGATGTTAAAGAAGAATATTCTGAAGACCTACAGAGAGTATTCTTTAATCCGGATCATTATACTGTGATGGAAAATGTTGGAACCTTTTTGATCACTGTCTCAAGACAAGGCGGTGATCCAGATGCGATAATTTCTGTCGATTATCAAACATACGATGGGACGGCTGAGGCTGGGACTGACTACATTTCGGTATCAGGAACTCTAACCTTTAACTCAGGGGAAATGCATAAGCAATTTTCGATTAGCATTATCGACGATGATGAGTTCGAAGAAGATGAACATTTTAGTGTGCGTCTTAGCAATCTCAAAGTTATCCGGTCATTTGGAACTCTGGATGCTCGCTTAGTGGAACCAACAACTGCCACGATTATGATTCTCGATGACGATCATTCTGGCGTGTTTCATTTTGAGTTTCCTGAAATCAAGGTGCCCGAGTCGATAGGATTTGCAGAAATCAAAGTTATTCGCTCCTCAGGTAATGCTCGGTACTTTTTTATTTCCTTTTATTAATTCATCTGTTTACTTGTGTATATATATTAGAACTAGGGAATCAAACTATAAATAAATAGCTCCTTATTGTTAATATTTACATAGGAGCATATTAGAGGTCATGCATAAGATGCTTATTTGTGGTAAGGTGCGAAGGAAATAGGTATAACTATTCTACCTCTTTTTTTCTCATCTGCCTCTTCATTTACCCATAAAATATTTCTGAGACATTAGTATAGATGAATTCTGTCAAAATATTTATAAAAATAAAAACAAAAAAATCATATTTTCATACAAGTTATTTAAGCATGCAATAAATGGAAAGCATGGATAAATCGAGCGAAAAACTATGGATAACGTGTAAATAGAACTTAGTTTAGTGCCTAAGCAATTTACCTTATCCTGCTAGGCATCTACGACATGTATTTTTAGTCTTTGTTAAAATACCTTTAACTCAAGCACTAAGTGACGTCGTGTTATTTAACTCTGGAGTCATTTGCAAATTAAACTGGTTAGGCTTTAATGAGAGTTCATAGGCAATAGTCAATTGTTTGCCCTGCTTTAAGGTTTG